GACAAATGAAACATTTCGTACTAGGAACAGAGAGGGAAATTTCTTGTTCTTTTCTATAACCTCTTTTGTGTAGTTCTATCGGACGAGAATCTATAATATCTAATAATAAAAAGAAATAAAAATCGTGTAATAATTAAAATGGATAGAATTATTAATATCTTATTTCAAGATAACGAATTAATTGACGAAGATGAAAATCTTCAAGAAAATCGACGAAGACCACGTTCGATCAGACCACGTATTAATTACTTAAATATTTTTGATGCAGTTGACTTCAAAAAAAGATTTGTAATATCCAGACACAATTTCATGATGTTATTAGAAAGAATTCAAGCTGAAATACAACATAATACCGATCGGTATGTACAGTTAACATATAAAAATATATATAGTAAAGACTGAAAATGTATATGTTTATGTATTTTTAACAGTAACAATGCTATTCCACCTGCAATCCAATTGATGGTTGCTCTCAGATTTTATGCCACTGGATCTTTTTTAAAAACTATTGGTGATTTTTGTGCAATTAGTGAAGTAAGTGCACACGATATAATTCACCGAGTATCTCCTGCTATTGCTGCGTTAAGAGATGAATTTATAAAACTTCCCATATCTCCAGAAGAAATTCGTGTAAGTCAACGAGAATTTTTTGAAACAGCAAAATTTATTCGTGTTATCGGTTGCATAGATTGCACTCATGTCAGAATTCAATCGTATGGTAAGACAAATATATTTCTAAAACATTATCTTTAGAACTATTTTCTTATTATCTTTAATACTTGTTACTTTTTATTTTTAGGTGGAAAAGATAGTGAATTGTATCGCAATAGAAAAGGCTACTTTTCTCTAAACATACAAGTAGTTATTAACGCAAAATTGGAAATAATTGACATAGTAGCGCGTTGGCCAGGATCTGCACATGATTCAACTATATTTAACCATTCAAGAATTAAGAGTTTGTTCGAGGCAAACAGATTTGGTGATGCTTTACTCCTTGGAGATTCTGGCTATCCGAATCTGCCATATTTAATGACTCCGTTACTAAATCCAACAAAACCAGCAGAACATCTTTACAATGAAGCTCAAATTCGAACACGCTCAAGAATTGAAAGATGTTTTGGAATTTGGAAAAGAAGATTCGCAGTGTTATCTATTGGATCGCGTTTTCATACAGTTCAAAAGATGCTTCCTATTGTTATAGCAACAGCTATATTGCATAATATTGCTCAGCAGAAAAATGAACCAAATGTAATTAATCCTGAAATATATGATAATGTTATTGCTGAAGTACAAAATGTAAGAGTGGATAATATGAACATCAGGGATGAACGACAACATTTACTTTCGGAGTATTTTGAAAGGTAATGAATATTGATGAAACTTAATTATGGCATATGATAATTTGATAATTAACATATTTTTATTTACAGATTACTTTAAAAACTTAAAATAAAAAGCATTTGAAATTGATATCTTTTTAATCTGAATGTAATCTAAATGTCTTTCTCTAATTTCTTTCACAATCTGTAACATGAGAAAAAATTACACATCTGTATTTAATATAATTATTGTAATACAAATAAATACATGTTTATATATTCTTTAAAATAAATAAATATACAATTATATACAATTATATACTTACATTATTCTTTATTGCACCACATTTACATTTTTAACAATTCTTTTTAGAATAAATTGAAAGAACAAGTATAATATAACACACTTTTCAAAATAAAATAAGAAATTAACTCTTTCCATCCTCTGATAAAATAAAATTAACCAAAATAACTACAAAAATAAAGAAATTATATTGCAAAAAATTTAAATCTATTGAATACTATTCCATTGAATATTATTAATGGGTATTCTTCAATTATGAAAAATAAAATAAGAATAAACCTTTCCAATTAACTATATCACAGAGTATAACATAGTGTAATACAGTGTTATAATTGAGAAATATTATCACCCAATATTATTATAGATACTATATATATTAATAAATATATTATTAAATACTGTATTATGTATTAATACTGTATTATATTAAAAAGTCTTTGGAACATTATAAATTATCTTATAAGAGATATATCGGTCTCTTTCTTTTTAATTACATCTTTTAAAGCTTTCTCTCTTTCTATTGACACTTTTAATAATTCTATTTTCAACTTTTCTTTTTCAAGTTTAGCTTTTAGTAAGTCGATTTCATAATCCTTTTTTTCTTTTTCATTTGTTTGTAATGTATGTAGTAATTTAAGTTTAGCCTCATATAATATTTCAGTATTGTTTTCGAGTTTGATTTTTTTGACATTTTTCGACGTCGTGGCTGAATGCTGATCTTGAAGCGGAAAACTTTTTTGCGATTTTAATTTTTTAATATTCCAAGATTTCCATTCATTAATTTCTTTATTTTCAACTAAATACTGAAACAAATTAAGATAAAATATTAAAAGATAAAAGATAAAATTTAGAATATATTAAAATTTCACACACAATTTATTAAATAATTTGCTAGTAAAACTTACTGAAAATATCTCTTGTGGATCATTTTCATTATCTTCGTCTTGTAGGTCAATAACAGTGTTCTCTTGTAATTTGTTATCAACAGTACCGATAGTGTCAACATAATCAGAATCAAAAGGATTAGCTAAGCCTGATACTGTTGTATCACCTAAAATTTCCTTCGCTCGCTCGAATATAGGATTTTTTTCTAAAGTGAGTACTCCTCCACCTACAAATGCAATAAAATATATCAAATTAGAATCTTAATTGTAGCTTCAATAATAAATATAATAATAAATTTAATAATAAATACATTTACCTGTTTTATAAGTTTCGCGTTTTAATGTTGCATAGTATTTTCTTGTATCTCTTTTAATGTTATCCCAACAAAGTCGTAAATTTTTTTCTGATCGTATAGTTGTTCTATTTTTGTTATATTCAATTGTAATATTGGTCCATGCTTCATCTTTCTTTAGATTAGTTATATTATCGGTTACTTTATTTTCAAGTACATGACAATATAAAAAAATGATATCTAATAAATCATTCTTTTCAGAAGTAGTAAACTTTTTTGCTCGTTGCATATTTGCTTGCATATTGTACCACTGTAAATTATGTATTATTACTTGTATATTTAATAATTTTAATTGAATTAATTTTTCAAATAAATGTTATATACCTTAATCTTATTCACCGCTTCTGTACACGATCTTTATTTCTCTAATAAAACATACATTTACATTTATATGTATATTTATTTTACATTTATTTATTTACATTTACATTTATTTTAGGTTCTCGTCCGACAGTCTGAGAGTACTACATAAATTGAGGTTATAGAAAAGAACAAGAAATTTCCCTCTCTGTTCCTAGTACGAAATGTTTCATTTGTC